AACAACTATTTGTGTGCTGTTCCTAAAAAATACGAATGAAGAAAAATATCTTTACATGCACGTACTTTGTATTTATAACCTACATATAAAACATACCATCGTAGATATTGATTATACCTATATTGCTAAATGTGAACGAATTACAAATTTACGTTTATACAAAATAACTTTTATATTAAATTTCATTATTACATATGGAGTGCTTTAAAACTTAGTTTAGTACTTTGGTACTCTTAAAGTTCAAATAATGTTAAACCCTTTAACAACCATTGAATAATGAATGAAACATTTGTCCCACAAAATAACCCAAAAATCGACTATCCGATAAAAAGTTATCAATTTTTTCCTGATAAATATAGATAGATACTTGAGGCTTATTAAAAATCATTTAAATACACTACATATTCAACACTTCCTTCAATTACATACTTCACATACATATTCAATACACTACTTCCTCAAAGACATTTTGTAATTTTAATTCCGTCTTCAATTTGAAAGACAGAAAGACATTTTAATTGTTGTATGCTGCTGCTGAACAAACGCTACAAAATATAATAACTACATACAATACGTAAGGACAAAAACTATAATTTTACTAAAATTTCAAGTAATGATTTAATACAGTTAGAAACATATCTTTTCTGCAATAGCATTTAATTCAACGCAATTCCCACAAAAAAACATTTAGGCGATCTGGTTTTAAATGGATTTTAGCCATATAAACACACTTTTAAATAATTTTGCTGCAAAATTGTACTAAATAGTTTTGTTTATGTTGTTCGACCACACCAGTTTGAAAAACGCGACAAAGGGAACCTTTTTCACTTATTTCCAGCAATTTTGCGGTTTGCTGCTCATAAGTGAATTCGGCTTTAACTAACGGTAAATTACGGCATATTTTTGTTTTTTATCCAGTTCTAGAGTTTGATTATAGAAATTACAGATATTTACTACTTAATATTGATCATTAACAATAGTTGTAATGAATTGCGAACTAATTGTCTCAATAAGAGTATTCAGTGTTCTTCGAATTATTTAGACAAATTGTTTTGAAAAAGTAAGAGCAATTGGCTAATTGATATTTTTGTTTGCGCCAGAAGAACGAGGAAGATTCGACAACAATTTTAATGAAAATTGTATTACTCGTGATCATACATTTTCAGCTTGATTATTGATTACGGATGCATTATTTTTCAACTTATTGGGAAATTGCAATATCAGTTGCACAGTCCCAAAACAAATTATAGATATAAGTACCTACATTCTTTTTCGATCTATACTTCGATACGTTCTTTTTCGATTTTTATATTATTTAAGGAGGGTTAAGTGCAAGAGATGAAATTGTTTGGATGCACAATGCCTACTTTTTCAATTGTGATGTTCAATTAGTTATCTGGTGTTTGATATACTTGATATGAAGGTGTCTAGATCACGTGCAACGTTTGAAGGTCAATAGTTACAAATTTGCTCAGTTAGTAGTATGTTCATAAAGTATCTATGCTTTATCAGTATTGACATACACACTTACATACCTAGTTAAAAAAAGTTAGTGTTACAACTGAGATTTATGAAAATGTATACCACATAACTTCAAACTTCTTCATTAAATGAATCGTCGGATTAAATGAAATTCATTTAAGTTTGCCGACTAGATTGTATCAAGTACTTACATATCAACATCTATGATCAATCTTTGTCTTTTATAAAGTATTGAAAGTACAAACAGATAATATCCAGTTGTATGATAATATTAATGAAGTTTGATATTAAAAATATGTGTTATATTTTCAAGCAGTTAGTAAAGGAGTCTAGAGTTCGTTTGAAAAAAAAATCTGAATTATATTTAGCGATCATTACGTAGACATTGGCAAAGCTGCGGCAAAATCTATAGCATTGAGCTTTGCCCCAAATTTTTCACCTCAAGTCAGCTGAGTGTCGATTATGCAAACATTGGAACCGAAATACTTTGTTGAAAGTCATTGATTAGTGCTTGGCAAAAGGTGCATACTGTCTTCAAAAGTGCAAGGGTATAGATACTAAATAAACATGCACTTGCCAGGCCTCTACGTCATTGTGTCGTTCCATCGCAATTTAAAGCGCAATTGTTTTGATTTTCTAGCATGTGAAAATGGAAAAAGTGCCTTTTTTATAGTGTGTAGAGCAATTCGAACTGAAGATGTAAATGCATTTTTTATCAATAAAGAAACTATTACCCAAAAAGTCAAAGAATAAAACTGATTTTCATGTATACTAATACATTTTTTGTTTTTTAAAATAATGGGAAGTAGTTAATTAAAAAGTCTATTTGTGATTTATTTTTTATATGTATTGCAATATTTCCGTGTAATCATTTAAAATACCTGTTTTTGTAACGACATATACGTTCCATTTTTTACAATGTATGCTATCAGAAAGTTACAAAGTTCACTTAAATTATGCACAATATCCAAAATATATGATAATTTGGCAGAGCTTAATTTCTTCATTTGAAATATATTTTTATCACTTACATATGAGTGGTTCTACTGCTCAAAATCATTTTAAATAAGCTAATTAAATTTTGCAGTCAGTACTGTATTTTGATCATATTTGAAAGTTCGTTTTATTCGGAATCGTAAGAATCATTTACATATTCATATTTTTTTAGACTTTGGCAATATTCTAAGAACTTATTTCACCAGCTGGTAAAGTTAGTAAAAATATTTATTTATATAATACGAAATTAAAAAACGGATGCTTCTCGACTGGAAATATCTAAGCAGTAAATTTCTAGTATATTTGATTAATAAAAAATTGCATCAACATTTTCTGTTTGCCATTTTCCCAGCTCGTAATAGTTGGGTATATTCTTGTCTTAATGACGAACGCACGATGAATTAAATATTTTGGAACTCCCGCTCCAAAATGTCGAAGTGCATTTTGCAAAAGCCAGATAATGTTTTTGTTATTATGTAATATCTGAGTAGAAGTTAGTTCTTTATTTTAAAAAAATACGTACTCCTATACAGATTCTTCTATTTTTAAATTGTCATTATATACCCTAAATGTGATTTCTGTGAAGATGACTGGTAAGCTTTGATAATGACTTTCCTCGATATTTTAAATTAATAAATAAATGAACTCAAAATTCTGTGACAATCATACACATATAAATTACTGTTTTCACATATAAAATTACTACTAAGGAAAAACCACAAGGACTATTCAAATTACACCGTATCTTACAGGACAATATCGCGAGGTAAATAAAAGTATGTTAACGTGCTAAGATCTAAATATATTTGTATTTTTACAGACTTGGGTTGCCAATATTTTATTTCTCATAGTAAACTTTTTAATAACCTAAGGAATTAACAAAAAGCTATTTGGCATTTTCCATATTTAGAACATTCGAATTCCATTCGGGAACTTATTTACTTATTCTATAGAATTGTTATCGAATCGACAATATATTGTCGATTCGTTAAAATTATCATTATTCTATAGTCATTTTAATAAAATTTTGAATCAATTCCTGACTTGACTAAAAATGCATTTAATCAGAAGTTCGAATTTAGTGTTTATAATATACATATATACATATATATAAAATATTATTTTTAGGCAAGGGGATTAGCTTTTTCACTTACGTAACTTAGTCGCTAACGGATTATTTATTTTATAGTTATGTGAAAACTTCAAATAACTTGTGTAGAAATAAATAAACACTTTACATTTTATTACAATTCGCATTATGTTAGTCTTGCAGGTAGTGAAGATTAAATCCCTGGGCTGGTGCTGCCAGTGAAATTTTATTCAAGTTTTTTTTAACCTCTGTATCTGAAAAGCAAAAAGACCCAGTCAGTTATATTTAATTCAGCTGTCTTAAGCTAAGATTATATGTAGAATCGAGTAATTGGTATAAAAACATTTAATTCATAAATTAATAAGTTTCTTACTTCAGTTTCTAAATTGAATTTTTCAATTTCCAGTTCATCTGCAGGATCTTCTTGAGCCGAGATTTTCAAATCATGTTCCAGTGATTCGTTCTGAAAAACTATATTTTTAGAGTATATTTATAACAAGCCAAAAGCAATCATACCAACGAATGTAACTCTTTAATCTTCTCTTCAATTCGCGCTATGGCCAAATCTTTTTCTTCAATATTGTTCTGGATTTTGCCCAGATCATGGGACATCTTGTCGGCTAGTTTTTTGTAGCTTTTTTTCAAATTTTCTGTTTTTTGATTGGTTTCAAATTCTCGTAACCATATACTTCTTCTCACTTCATTTATGTGAAGTTTCATTTCTTCGTTCGATCGAATTTTAGTTTTATAATCCTGCTTCTGATCCTCTAATTTTCTGATCTGTAGACAATTATTTAAATGTTATTTATGATTTGCATGAAGCAAAATATAAATCTTGACCTGATGTCTCAAGAAATCTATTTCGTTTTGAAATTCAACGGTGTTATTTATCGACTCTTCTTCTTCTGCCAATATGGCTTCAACGATTGGATCGTTATGAAGACCTATTCTTGACGATTTGCCATGAATTGTTTGTCTAGCTTCTCGTATCTAAAATTTGTCAAAATTACGAATATTCGTGTGATTTCAGTTATATTTTATCAACGGCTTACTAATGCTTTCTCTTCAAGATCGTGTTTAATTGCAGCCAATTCTCTTTTCAGTTTATCGAATTCCAATATAATATCTGCCTCTCTTAACCTGAAAATTGTATTTTGTTTTACTTGTTTTCACAGCGCAAATTGCAATTTTTCTTTGTCAGTCTCATTTTTTTATTTACAATTTAATTCTATTTGAATGTAAGTTTAGCTTTAAATTCAAGTTTTTTCGTCAGTTTGTCAGGGAGATCTGCAACTTTTCTTAAAATGTGAGTGAATGCGCTTTTAAATTTCACAAATTACTGCGGTCTTAGCTGTAAATATGCTATTTTTTAAAACATTCCGCAAACTTCGCGAAGGACGAATTATATCAAACTAAGAAAATAAATAAGAGATCGTGCATTGGATTTTATGAATTAAAGCTAGTTGGCCGATTTCCTCAAATGAAAAGTTGTTGGGCCATCAACAATTTTAATACGAGGTAAAAAACTATTTATTCACTTTCATGAAACTATTTTTCCCTTTTTGGTGTTCGAGAATTTGAGCAACTAAAATCGAAACTAAGGCATACTCTTTTCCATTAATGAAACTATACTTTGTTTCTTATTATGTTTTTTTTACCTAGCGGCTAGGTATTCATCCTGCCAATGTCCTAGTCCTTGTCTATGGACATTTTTCGTTTTTTCAACATCATATTCAAGTTGAGTCAAATAATCGTGAAGCTCCTGAAGTGTATGTTCACTCTCTGCTATTCGCAACTTGGTTTTAATTAATAGGTCTTGTAAGCATTCTTCCACATTTTGCTTAAAGCCCAATAATTCCTTGATTGGTTTCAGTTCGTCAATGAAAGTGTTCATCTAAAGTTAGTTTACAACATTTGAAAGCTTCCAAAATATCACACACTGGATATTTGTATCTATTTAACAATTATTTGCGGGTCAATGCCGGCGATTCTATTTTTTACAGAATTTACGCTACCTTACTACAAATATTTTTCAATGGAATTTAATTACGCAAAATATGATTTTTAATTAAATATCCACTGATTCCAGTCTTTTAATAGGTACTCATTAAATATCAGCTATTTAAAAAGTGAATTATTTATTTAAAATTCGTTTTATATTGAATTAATAAAATGATGCTTACTGAATCTATTTGTTCTTTACAGATTTCCAATCTCTGGGACTCCTCCAGACAAGTGCGGCGCTCTTTTTGAAAAGTTTCCAGTAAGTTGTTTAAATCGTTTTTCTTTGTTATTATGTCCACCTCATTATTAGTAAATGTATCCCTTAAATGGCTATTTTCCTCTTCGAGATGCTTTAGTCGGAGTTTCAGCTCCTCATTAGAACGTTTGGCTTTCTACAGTAAAACAATTGTGTGTAGTGGCATTAATGAACAATAACACGTTTCCATTTTAAAATTTTCAATTCTCTATCGATAATCAATGAACTAATTGAACACTAAATGCGGAAATAAACAATTTTGAGTTCCCACCTCTAGTTCTAATCTTTTTTCCCGTTGGCCTTCCAGTATTGCTGTATATCCACTATCGACGAATTGAAACATGTTGAAATTATTAAAACACTTTTTTATAATGATCTCAACCACACCTCAACGCACAAGCAACTAGCTTAACAATTAACAATAAAACTTAATGTTAATTTGTTATCAGGTTATTCAAGGTTCTGATAAGAGTTTCAATGTGTTATTGCCGATTAGAGACGCAAGTTTTTTCATAGATGTTTTGTTTATTTCACCTGTCCATATGTTGAGATTATGGATAGTATCCATATTTGATTGTCCGTTAAAATAACATTCTTTTTGTTATGCTATGCGTTACCTTGATTTGGAACGTGAAAAAGATTAAACTTTATGGTAGGAAACAATAATATGTAATTAATAAGTTTAATTAAGTGACTAATACATTATTGATCAGCTGTTTTGATGCATTTTTTCGCGGTTTGTTCAGTTTCTACTGTTGGAAAGTGCGATGTTTCTTATTTAGCTGAATTAGTTGTTTCAATTCAATGTTCAATGTTCAAGTTACTAGTCAATTTAACATATTAGCAAACGCACTGCTATAGCAAGCTTTCAACAATATAGTATACATTTTTTAATTTCTCACGTAATAATTATTATCTAAATTTGATAAGGTAGGCAGAATAAGTATTAAAAAAATTTATTTTACTCAAAATATTTATTTCCAATAAATACATTTTTATGAGCTATATACATAATGCAGAAGTGGCAAAGATCCAATACTCAGTTCCATTACATTGCAGTCGTCATCAGTCATCAAACTTATAATACTTTAATAAATAACGTATACTATTTTGACTACTAGGTAGGTAATAAATATGATTATACACTTATGCACTAGTAGCGGATTTCATAAACCTTTATATAATAAAGACAATAGATATGTCATTTTCGAGAGTAGTTTAATAATAATTAATTGCGCATCTACTACTATCTAGTATAGCTAGTAGAATTAATACAATTAATCAATTATAAATCCTATTAGTATTGCAAGTGTTTTGGCATATTTAGTAGCTAATACATACATTTTCCTATTATAGTCGATTTAGGAATAGTTGACAAATATTACACTGTGTAGTCAAAGGGGTTTTTGAATACAATTTATGGACTTTCTAGAATTTTTTTACTGGAGCGAATTTAATTTAAAGATCAATCTATAAATATTTGTCAGCTTTCTTGATCACATAAACCAGAGCTTTGAGCGAGGTTCATTATAAAATTAGTGAATTGACTACAATCAATACGGACCACTACTCCCTGGATATCCGTTTCCATTGCCGTTGCCGTTTCCATTGGTGTAGCCGTTTCCATTTCCGTTGCCATTGCCATTTCCGTTGCCATTTCCGTTTCCATTTCCATTTCCATTGGCATAACCGTTACCATTACCGTTTCCATTGGCGTAGCCGTTTCCATTTCCGTTGCCGTTGCTGTGGCCGTTTCCATTTCCGTTGCCGTAACCGTTGCCGTTACCATTTCCATTGCCGTTGGCGTAACCGTTACCGTTGCCGTTTCCATTTCCGTTGTATTGATAGCCACCGTTTCCTATAGAGGAAACCCGGAATTAGAAGTTTAATAAAATTACTCAATAGTAAGTGTGTTGAAAATATTTAAGAAATATAGTTGGTTTGACCAACAGGCTCCAACTAATCATTGAATATGTATAAAGTAAGAGTGCCATAATTACCATTTCCGTTAGATCCGTCGCCATTAGCTTCCCCTAAAATCAAAATAATATCAATTATATAGATGTATATGTATCGATAGATAAATGAATGCGAATTTTAAAATCGTATATACCTTCATAAGTTACGACTGGTTTGTATCCGTCTAAGTCAGCTTCGTATTGGACAATTTGCCTTCTACCATCAGGAAGCAATACGTGGTATTCTCCAATGGTAAGGTCACCATCTCTCTCTTCTTTGTGCCCGAATTCGTTTCCAGATTCTGGGTCGTTGACTTCATATTCAAATTGGTACTTTGCGGGCTCCTGAATAATAGATTCAGTTTTTAATTTAATTACAAATCAAATTTAATTTAAATTACCGTAACTTCTTCTTCTTGAGGTCCACCGTTAGCGTATCCTCCGTTAGAAGCGTAACCATTGCCGTTACCGTTACCGTTTCCATTGCCGTTGCCATTGCCGTTGCCATTGCCGTTGCCATTGCCGTTTCCATTTCTTGGAGGTCCATATACTGGAGCAATACCGTTACCGTTACCGTTACCATTACCGTTACCATTTGAAGGTACTCCATAAGTGGAAGAAGGCCTGCCGTTTCCTATAAGTCAAGTTTTAAGTTGACTGGTTCAGTTAATTATATTTAGGACATGGTACCATTTCCGTTGCCGTTTCCGTTGCCATTTGGTACTCCATAAGTAGAGCTCGGTCTGCCATTTCCGTTGCCGTTGCCGTTTCCATTTCCGTTTGGTACTCCGTAAGTTGAACTGGGTCGGCCGTTTCCATTGCCGTTTCCGTTTCCGTTTCCGTTTCCGTTTCCGTTTCCGTTTCCGTTTCCGTTTCCGTTACCATTTCTTGGTGGACCATATACTGGTTTTGGAACACCATTTCCTTTGGAAATTTGTTAAGAATTTTCATTAGAGGATGTTCATTTTATATAGAGGCAAATTCAAGTTTCAGTTCGTATTTTATCGGTTTACCATTTCCGTTGCCGTTTCCGTTTCTTGGTGGTCCGTAAACTGGTGCTGGAAGCCCGTTACCGTTTCCGTTGCCGTTGCCATTGCCATTTCCGTTTCCGTTTCCTGCAATTGTATGAAGTGTAAATTTAGAAGAATATATTACTTGAAAGCTGTTTATAATTCTGGAAATCAAAGTTTCAGAAATTTGTTTTTAAATGAATGTTATCTGGAAGTGGTATTGAAAATGGATGATAATATCTACCGTTTCTCTAAATGATTATTAGCATGATCGGGTAATGGGCGATTCTCTTGAGCTAGTAGATATGCTTGTTATTTACCGTTTTCAATTCCAATGACGTTTCCGTTAGGAACTCCGTAAAGTGGAGATATTATTATACCATTTTCATTTCCATTACGATTACTATTTGCTGGCGGTAGATAGCTACTTCCAGGAATACGATCACTGTCAGGGTCTGGAGAACCATTTCCTGATTTCACAAGTTTCTCAAGATTGAGGATAATTCTTAGCGAATTTTTTGTTTTACTTTGTTAAAGTGTGAAACTAAATTATATTTTCTAATGCAAGTTTCGCTGCATACCATTGCCGTTTGATGGGGGTCCGTAAACAGGGATGGGTGCGCCGTTTCCGTTACCGTTGCCGTTGCTGTATCCATTTCCGTTACCGTTACCATTGCTGTAACCATTGCCGTTGCCGTTTCCATTTCCGTTCAGTCCGTTACCGTTTCCATTTCCGTTCAGTCCGTTACCGTTTCCATTTCCGTTCAGCCCGTTACCGTTTCCATTGCCGTTCAGTCCGTTACCGTTGCCATTTCCGTTAGAATAGCCGTTGCCGTTGCCATTACCATTGGATAATCCATTGCCGTTTCCATTACCATTGCTGTATCCATTACCGTTTCCATTTCCATTACCATTACCATTACCGTTGCCATTTCCATTCGGGCCTAGAGGAACACCGGGTTCATAACCAGGAGGGCCGTATCGAGGACTAACTCCATCTGGAAATAAAATTTAAAAAAATATATTTCACACGTAATTAGTGAAAAAGGTGAAGAGTATATAAACTCCGCTGACTAAAACTAAGCTTTTAAAGTGACTTACTTCCATTACCATTCGGCGGTAGATAGGAATTGAGAGGCGCCTCGGGTCTGGCCACAACAGTCCATATTAAAATCAGGCAAGATACAAGCTGCAAAGAAAATGTTTGGAACAATTATTAAACATTTACAGAAAAATAATTCGCTGTAATAAACTCCATAAATAATAATAAAGGACAATTCGGAAGTGTTAAAGTGATATAAATAAGAATATTTACAGTACACAAAAAACTGACGCGCATATTTTAAAAACGTTAACTATACAAGGTTTCTGGACTTTCCTCCAAGTTGACTTTCTAGGGGGTGAATGCTAGATGTAGAATTGTTCCCAGAAAGTATAAAACATTAAAATTCTTTGCCGGATTTTGACAATGGTTTCCCACCATTTGCTTCTGGGCTTTGAATCTACTTTTGCAATACCGTATAATCTTCACAGTCGTTTGAGATCTAAATGGCATTTTACGTTAAGCGAATTTTATATCTAAAATCGATCGTTTTCCGAAGATGAGTGGGCTTTAATGCATGACATAACAGAATTCCCATACGAAACTAGAAAAACTATTTCGCTAAAATTTGATTTGGCAAACTTTTTCTAATTAGATAGCATTCTTTTATTTCTAATGCTGTTGGCCCTCAACCTGTCCTAAAAATGCAAATCTTCCTAAAGAGGCAATCTGTCCTTAATTGCCTCTTAAGAATGTTAGCTGCAACTGATTCCATCAAAGTATTTCAAATATTCTGATGTAGATATTACCATAATAGAAACATCATTATTGCGTTTTCGCAATTTGATGTTGATGACATTTTTTTTGGATTTATTTTGCGCAACCCATGTTTGAGTGAATACGTTTTTATCTATTTATTTTATTAGATTTGTAATGAAGTTTAATTGAAAATTTCGATTTTATAGAGATATAAATTGAATCACATTTTCCAACATAAATCGAGAGAAATGTTATTTAATATGGATTTTAGAAGAACTTTGGTTGATGATTTGAAAAAACAACTTTATTTTGATTTAAAAACTTAAAACGAATAATCGAAGGAAAACCTTAAAGCAGGTATATAGGGTTAATACAAAATGTATTCATCCACCATGTAAAGTAGAAATATTGTTAATAAAATATATTTAAGTAAGGCAGTTTCATACCTTTAACATACTGACTTTGATGAAACACTAAACTTCAACACTAACAAGCAAAGCTGCCAAGCTAAGTATTCAAAATCTTCAACTGACTTTCTTGAGATTCCAAACTGTGTATTTTCTTAAGAAAATTTAGTACTGTTACTAAAGAGATGTCAACTACTGAATGATTCTGTTGAAGATGTTCCAGCCTTTTATACTTAATCGAGCGTGATTCACAATCATCTATTTAGATCAAAATACGCTTAGATTTTTTATGCAATAATTTTCGTCGCATGGCAGAAGATACAGGGGAAAGAAGCTGTCCCCTTTCTTGGCAATTTCAGATGTGTGGAGGGTATCTCGGGCCATCGATGCACGTAAAATCAAATCTTGCCGCTCTCACGCTTATTTTAGTTTGGGCAAATATCGTGAGAACACAAAAATGTTTGTGATAGAATATTTATTATATTACCGGCAACCACTTATGTATTTCTAAATTTATATTTGAGCTTCAGTTAGAGTAAAAGTTTATTTTGTTTCAATTTTGACAAGTTTGCAGATTGTGTTGGGTTAACGATATAAAATAATAAGAAGAATATACAATACAAGTTCGTCAAGTTAAATAATTTTCCATAATTGCTTCGTTGCGAATTAAATTTAATAAGATATAATAATACTTTTTGTGTATAATTTGAATTTATTTTGTCCAGTACGAAACATTTTTCTCAGATTAAGGTAACGTTATAATTTTGTCTATTGCCTATTGTTTCCTGATTTTTCCCACAAATTCATTTTTTGTCTGACAGGTTTTGATCAATTTTTTTTATCATGATTTATTGTTCTGTTTTATTTTAGTTTTATTTTTCATGTTTAGCGTTTAAACATTTTGACTGGTTCAAATTATATATTGAAATGGTGATTTTTAGAATTTAGTCAGAGAGAAGAAGAATTAGAAGTATTTTTAGAATATAATCAACAATGCAGGAAAATTTAGCTTAATTATTTGGCTTTCTTTTAAAATGTCTAGTTTTTGTTTTTTAAAACTAGAATGTTGACAAAGCAACATTGATTTGTTAAAATACAGTACAATAATTAAGAGGAAATTAGGAGGAATCTTAGCGTTCTTACACTTATAGGTAAATTATACGAAACTCAATTTGTAGAAAAAAAGAAGATTGTATTATTTAAATAAATCACATAATTCAAAAAAGAGTTTTTTAAAAAAGAAAATATACATGATTTCTATTACAATAACCACTAAAATATTTTTTTACTCTCTTATCTTTTGCTTTTTCATTCTATAGTATATTCTTGTTATTATAAAGAGCGTTATGCATATACATTAGTTATTGTCAAAGTATTATAAAAAAGTTCTTTAGTAAAATGAGAACTTGATGTTTGTTTCTGCGTGATGATGTTTTCGGTATTTGATAAAAGCTACGAAGATTATTTATCACCCAACTTGCGACTATAATAACGACGTTTTCCACATAAAAAAATATCATTTGCTAAATTCCAGTTAGGCTCGTTCTGGTTGTTAGGAGGCCCTAAACTAAGGCTACGCCTGCAACGTATTCTCAAAATTACAATTTTGTGATTTGTAACACCAAGTTTTAAAAAGTATTAAGAATGATTTATAACAATTCTAAATTAAGAAATAATTTAATTTATGAAATGTTTTATTAACATGTTTAACATAAACTATTTTGGTTAGTTAAGTTGGAACAATATATTTGCATCAGTTCTTTAATGAATTACTGTTTTCAAAATAACTTGAAGTAATTTGGTTTAAAATTAAGCAATTTTTCATTCCACCACCGGTTTTTAGCAATTGTTTTAACCTGAATATATTTCCTTCAATTTTCTGTCGTTTATTTAACTTGACCTAACATGTCCATAAGATCTGACTGCTTATGAATAATCGATTATTCATCGACGATCGTTTAATTTTTGATAATTACACTATAAAATTGTCCTACTGATTTACTTAATTTGTCTACTTAAATTGTATTCTCCTAAATTACATATTAATAAGAACAAATCAAAATCAATTCCTGGGCTTCAGTCATTTATTGTCTATTTATCAATTAAAATACGTTTCGGTGTTTTCCACCATCATCAGTTTCTCTAAAATATTAATAAGAACATAAGACTACAAAAACTATTTATTTTAATTTACTGTTTCGGATTTACGACAAAGATTTTAGTTTCGGGCCAGCGTCAGTTAAAAACATGTATAGCTGAAAATACTCGCTAAATCGTATTTTTTATTTAGGAAAAAGTATAAGTAAGTTTACAATTACTTATCGAGAAAGGTAATTTTACTTCTTCGGTTGTGCAAACATTTGCTTATTTTAATAAAGTATGAACGTTGATGTTAGTGAACAAATGGCGATTGTAATTCTCTCGGACTAAACGCGCTCTAATGGTAATCCTACTGTGTTTAATGAAAATGGATCTTCTTGCACCAACCTGCAATATACGGCATATACGAGGCTATTTCATTAGCACAAGAATGGTACGGTCAATGTCTTCGAATGTGTCGCAGATTCGTTCTTCCAAATGTCAAAAAGACATGTTTCTGTAATCAGATTAGGAATTCACTAATTACATAGAATATGTGTTAATTATACCTTTTGTATAATTGATACATTTTATGTCAGTGTTACGAGTCGCATATTTCTTATTGATGGATTCTTTACGTCCATACTGTGGTGCAAGTCTTCATATATGGTGTGGATACCCTTTAATTTGTTGCTTGAAATCATTTTGGAAGATTTTATCAATTTTCACATGCATTCATCATAGTACATCGACTATTTTTGCTAAAATATTGTAATTTTTCTTATAGGATTTATTCAATCAAATTCTAGATAGTTTTTCTGCCATCGAAAGAACAAAGTCACGTCTCGATTGCACGTGGTGTCGCCAAGCATTTCGCAAGGAATAAATTCTGCTACGATACCTAAACTGTCTCAAAGATAAAACCCAAGGAAAATAAATCTTTCATGTGGCTCGTGATTCTCGTCGTATTAAGCAATAACTTCGACATCTTCTCTGCTTTTTTCTTCGATTCAAGAATCAGTACTAGAGCAAGGCTAGAAAAGCGGCAAAATAATACGACACTTATAAGATATCTCATATGTTATAAATAAAAAAATGCAAATCAGTCTCAATATACGTTTAAAAGCCGATGGGAGAAACTTTTTCTGGTTGGAACTGAAATATGCACCTTCAGTCATGCTACTGGGGTCGAATTTTCCACGCCCACTGCTAAATAATCAGCTCCACATTATTAATGCACATAATGTTTAAAACTTTTTGGTTGAAGCTCATTTGTAAAAAAATGACAATAATAAATCAATCTGAGTTATAATCTGAACCTTAAGCGACTGAATGTGAGCAGATGTGAGTTGATTCGTAGAAATATGCTAAGGAAAATTATTATTGAAACGTAGGCTTATTTTTTATCCCTTGGAATGTCTTCATTCAACAAAAATTATCATTAGCGATGTGCAAGAAGATATAATAGGCCATTTAATTATTAGTCCTGTGATCTTTAAAACGCGGTTAAATGACGAAACTTATTTATTACATCTCCAGAACACATTTCTCGGTTTACTTTACGAAGTTCCCTTAATTATCCAGCAACATATATGGTTCATGCATGATAAAGCACTCCCACATCTTTGAATGAGTCGAATTTTTTAAAGGACATGCTTTCGAGAGGAATGCGAAGCAAAAGCGAATAATTTTTTCCCCGGGAATGTGCTGGGGTTGCAAATTTTGCCATACATACGTTTAAACCAAGGAGAAAAAAGTATATCTACTTTTTAATGAGATTTTATATTGCGCCGAAAATTTTTGTAAAAGTGTTTGTGCAAATTTCGATTTGCTGCCGCTAAAAATTCCGCATAAAAATAATAATAGAATAACGAAATAAAAAAATAGTTTTGCAAATCAAAAATGTTAACTTCTCGGTCAGGGCTAATCCCAATAGCCTTATGCCCATGCTAATGATTCTATTCTGGATAGAGATACATAAGTACTATCCCAATTTTATTGTTATAAGCAAAACCAAAAATATCGGTTATTAGAAAAGGATTAGGCAAATTTCACTCGTTATATTCTCACTCATTTTGAACTCATGGAACTCATCAAAACCATGAATATCTATGCAAATACAATTATCAGACATATTTTTCCTATTCAGTGCCAGATAAAAATAATACAAATAATATTTAAAAACAAATTACAACGGTGCCTTGAGTTTGAGTGTATTTAAGAAAGTAGGTAATACATCAGCATTGGAAATGTTTCATTCCAATCCACTCATTTTCAAGGAAATCATAAAATGCATAATAATCTTGCTCTATCGTGTTTTTAATGATTGAAAGTTCTATCTTTTTTCTTGATTTCTTTTCAATATTTTGAAAGTTTTATAGTTTTACTTAATCTAATAGGTAACATTTTAAATGGTCTGAATCAAAAACATTCAGTTTAGAGGAATCTTCAAATAACTATGAAAAATTGAAAATAATAAATATAAACGTTGGCACGTTTATAAGACTTCCAGAAATGTTTCTTTCAATAGAAGCTCTGATCAACCTTTTCTTCTCGAATTCGGAAATTATTTAAGTTCTTCAGTTTCAGACGTTTCATCATTTCGTTTTGTTACATTAGGATGGGTTTGAATCTGAATCCAAAGGGAATTTTTGAGGACATTTTTCGAGTGTTGTTCGTAGTTCTTCGGCTTACACAGTCAGCTTTTCTGTTTATCGCTCTTTTCCTTTCTGTTTCCGTCATTCTATCTAAAACATCTACCTGTTTTCCTTTCCAAAATGTGTTGCCGTTCTTCCCTTTTAACTTGATAGCACTCAAATGCATAACATTTTTCTGTTTTCTGTATATTTTAACTGTATATTTCCTTGGCTTTGCAAATACAAGTTTTCTTATTTATTTTTTATTACTGTTCTTAGTAGTCACTTTTACTTCATCGGTTTTAAATGCATTTGCATTTTGGATTTTGTTGTCCAACAAAACTGCCTTCTTCCTCATAGTTGTCATCTCCAACGCTTTCATCTCTTTCATCTGGTAAATCACTTCGAAAAAGTTATTCTAAACTTTATTCACTTTTCAGCTATTGGAATAACTGACCTTTTATTTTTATTTTGTTTAGTAATATTACTTGAAATATTTTTTGCGCTGCTATAGTACATTTTTTTGTAATTTTTTTTAAGGGGTAGTTGTGTATTATCTGATTATTTATCATGGTCAGACTTTACATTTTCAGGCGGTTCTTGGGTATTAGAATTTTTGGTTTGACTTTCCATAAGATGTTTGCTTAAAGTTTTAAAGCCTTTTGAATATTGAGTCATTCTAAAAAATTTCGACGTTCTCGATTTTATTAAAATATCTACATATTAAATTCAAACAAATACAAATAACGAGTTACTAGCTCGAAAAATTGCTTCTACATGACGAATTAAAGTTAAGCAAACTAATATCTTTGCTTGTATCTTTAAATGGGCAACAAATTTCTCAGAAAGAATATGCGAATTTACTTGCAGTGCTTCTCGATTGTCGCCTGCCTGGAGCAAACATATCAAATCCATCAGAACCGCGCTCAACCTGAGGCTGAAGGGAATGTGTTGACTAACATTAATGTACACCATTTACCGTTATCTCTCGAAATTAAAATTAATCGAAAAAAAATTATAACATAAAACAGCAGATTTTAATGAAAAAATCGCTGACTAATTGCTCAAATACCGTGGTATGTTGGAAATGATGTTCTAAACGACTTGAAAATCTCAACTATTAAGGAAGAAAAAATACCTTCTCGCGTAGAAGTAGGATTTGCAGTTTGCTGAATATCTGTGCATAGATTTTTAGGTTTAAGAAATAGTTTGAGTGAAGAAGGTTAAATTATTACTTTGTTCTTCTCTACTTTCGATACATTTTCATAAAACTTTGTGGGTTAAACCCGCCCAATACAGCTTTAGTTGGGAAAACGGCAATTTCTTAGGAAATAATGAGTGGTACAAATAATCAACATACTCATTTAAACAACTATCTTTCGACGACATCACAGGCCGTGGATTAAATTCTTATTATCAAACTTGCGATTGCTCAACGTTAAGGCTGAAGATAAAAACCATGACATTTTCAGCACTGTCGGTCTACTTTTTATTCTAATCCAATTAACTTTTACGTTGACGTTTTTGTAAGATGTCATCGGAATGAACGCAAAATAAATAATTAAACAATCAAGATGCATCACACAATTCCACACACTGTTACGCGCCGATTTTTCGAAACCTTTTAAAGAGATAAAGTAATTGGCTGCAACGACCAGTCAGGAATCCTCATTGCATGGTACCGGTCGATTCATTTATTTTTATTTTCGATTGACCAACGTGTAACCACATATTTTATGTCTTTAGGTTTAATGTTAATTTTTATTCAACCAATTAAAATATACTATAATTGCTGGTGCTACACCAAGATCAACCGGGCTATTATAGAAGCATTATCGTAGGGTCATGAATAATTTATTTAATTTTGTGGCCATAAAAGGTAATATTGATCAACATTAGGAATTCAGCTGCTCAAGGGTTGTACATTCTAAAACCAATGAATAGCTTAGGATGGATGACAATAAATTTATAGTTGGCATGGTCAAGATTGAGGCGCGCAAACACATCCAACTTAATAATAGCAATAGTAATTTTCGATTCCATCGTCATTTTTTACATTGTTACTTGAACAAATTAAATTCCTATTTTATATCCGCTTTAATAATCCTGCGGATTTACTAATAGTAAACGTAAATATTTAACAAATCTACAAGTATATAATTTTAACACTTTTGAGAAAAATATGTGACGATTCACCTATAGTTCTGAATTGGGTTAGTCCTGAAAAAATGGCATCACTTTGCTTGTTAGCATATCATTGTTTGCAATAGTATTAGTTTAGTGATAACAAAGATGGGAAACTTAGTGGTTTTCTTTAGATGCAGAATGTTCTTTAATAATGGGGAATTAAATCAGAGTTTACAGTGGCAGATGCGATGTTTTTCTCGCATCTTAATTAAGACGTCAATTTATCTCAGGGCGACTTAGTTTTTTTGCTTGAAATCAACACAGTTACTGTTCTTTAGTTGCTTAACTTGACATTTGTTCAATTTTACCTCAATGCATTGGTGTAGTAACTGACTCAGTCCATATAATAACTCCAAACAGAGCTTTGGTTATTGCATCTCCTTGTTTCTGGGTAAACTTATTTGTAATTTGAAATGTACCAGCTACCATAAAAGCGCCATAATGACCGCATAAATATAATGGAAATTATCGGGTAATCTGTAGCATGGCAAAAGCTACACTCATACATACATTCAAGTGCGTAACTATTCCTAAAAGGAAAGTGCATCTGCGATAAAGCCATTATTACTACATTTGCAAGTCGTGACAAAACGCTAAAAATATAGTTCATGGTTCCATCATGGTTAATTGTATCAAGATTTTCTGTTTTATATCATCAAATAAATGTATTGTATGTGGTTGTGTAACATGTCAGGGCATTCATGGACAGGAAGAGGTAACTTCCACAACTTTGTCTACAATAATTACTTTATTTAACTTGTATATAATAACTATTTAGCCAGTAAGTAATAACAATAAATACTTTTTTGCATTAAATATCAGTCTAGGTCTCCATAATTAGCTACTCGATTCTTGAAGCTCACTTTTTAACAACTCCTCGAATCCATGGTATAAATTCCGACACTCTAGTATATATTCCTGGTAAATATGGTCTGGCACAACCAATTCCGGTTGATACAACTCCAACTACCATCATCTGATTTTGAGATTCGGTTTCCACCATCAATGGACCACCGCTATCAGCCTAGAGGATATTTTTTTTTAAATATTTTAATTATTACGATTGTTCCAATGAACTGTTTGACTTGCATTGCTGAGCTGGATACTTTTCAGTGTTAGTAAGTGATATACTTACCCAACAAGCGTCAATGCCACCCTGTTCATGTCCGGCGCAAATTTGAGATTCCTGGATTTTAGTTTTTTTGCCTTGTGCCTTATACCATTCTCTGCATTTTTGGGTTTCGATAACTTGCACTTTTGCTTTCTGCAGAATTGTTGCTCGTCCACCTAATAGCCAATAGTAATGACATAGAGCAAATGAAAAACCAGGGTTTTATTTTAATTTCCTCTAATAAACTAGTTGAAACTTTAAATATCACTAACTTTTACCTTTTCCTCTTTCCTCACTAGTCCAGCCCCATCCAGCTACAGTAGCGAGAATGTTATGGAATCCTGAGTAAGATTTCTCTTCGTTTTCAGCTGGCAGACATGCTGGAGTAACGCTAAAAGTTTCAATTTAAAAGGGTCGTTATTTCCAATTCGAAAATACGTTGTATTAGATAATCGTTTGAATTATTCATTACATAAGAGATGTGCGTAATTTATTGCTTAGAAAGGGAATACCACTATTAAACAGTTTTTAATTTGCACTAAAACCACGTTAATTAATAATTTAATATGTAGATACTTTTTGCAGAACATTATTCATTTCCAATTAGCCCATGAACTAGATGGGAAGTGAATGTTGGAAGTGCAATATCTGACATATTTACTGCTTTTGTTTCAATATCATAATTTGTTGCAGATGTTTTATGCAGTTTACACAATTTTAGCAACATTACTTTATTTATTATTTTTTTAAGTTCATATTATTTTTCTGAGCTTTAGACTGAACATGAGTGCCTACCTTTCGGTCCATCTAATCGCCGTTTCCAGCTCCAAAATTGCTATATCGTTCTTTACTTTATTGCACAAATATCCAGGGTGCACGATGACAGATTTTAGTGTCGTTTCAAACTTTTCCGAATCGTCTTTATTTAAATCGTGTTGGGATATTGTAACTTTTATACTTCTGGCCTGCAGGTGATCATTACCACTTCCACTGCAATGAGTTATTTTGTAAGTATATGTTTGCACTTTTATAATATTTATTGAGTTTTTTACGATATTCTATAAGCGACAATTGAAAAATCGGTAATAGCAAATATTTCCCTTTTCTTATAGTTTACATGATATTCACATCTACGGGAAGTGGATTTTATATGCGGGCGCCGATCAAACAATGCTTGTTCAATTCCGATAATTAAAGTTCAAGTGTAATATCAATGTTATACCTGTGTGTATTGTCAATGAATATTTATGTGATATTTGCTTGCGAGGTTCAAGAGAGGTCTTACTTTATATTTTCAATTATTGGTAATAAAGTGTCTCCAAAATTGAAGAAGCATTTATGCGCTTCTGTTACTAAATGTTTGCTTCGTCTCACCCAAGGCTTTGCAAGTATTTCACAACTTATGCTGTTTAATATTGGTGTAGGTCAGTACCGGCTTCATATTTCGGTGTTATCAAGTAATTTTTAAAATATTCTGAATTAACACACTTAATGTATTGTAATTAGAACTTACGTGCATAAGCAATGAGCAGCTGTCATAACGTAGTTTTTACTAATTAGTGTTCCACCGCAAAAATGATTTCCTCTACGCGTAATGGAAACCAACCAGGGAAACTCGGATTTAGCAGCTTCTTGTCCTCCCACTATTTTAGCTTTTCGCTGGTTTGGTCGTTGTCCACAATTGATGTCTGCGACTTAGGATATAACATATTTAAATTGTTCGTTTTTATTTTAAATAATTGCAAAAGCATGTTTAATGATTAAACTTTTTGTTGCAGATTAATTCTCCGTTAGTCGTGCCTTATGGTAAATTTGAAACAAATATTTTCTTCCATACCGTTCATGTTTTTATATATCAGACTTATATTTTTAAGATAGTTATTAATGTCTTTTATCAACAATCAAGAAAATATCCTACGTTTGCAAAAATAACTAGGCTTCCAATATACAAAAATTATACATATAAAATACTTACAATTATTTAGAGCTTGGGCACTTGCTATTATGACATTTACTAAAACCATTAGGAACACTTGCATTTTTAATTTAATCTGATTGCAATCGACTAGAGAGTAAAAAAATCTTGTGATCCTACTCCTATATTAATCAAGTTTTCCAAATAGGCCTGTTTAGTCTTTCAGAAAACCTGCCAGGAGTACGAATGATAATCCGTTAAAAATTCACCAATATATACAATAAATTGCGTCTTCCGGTTTCGGATAGTAGGGACACCCTTCCATGATCGCAAATGCACCTCAAGGGTGAAATATTCAAATTCGTCGCTCATCAAACTGTATTTAAATTCTGTATTAATTCAATGTTACCACTGTACAAATTTCCCTGGTCAACCTTGCTTCTTTGCCAAGGTTTTCATTGTCGAAACCCGGAAAAAATGAGAAAGACATGCGGCGATTCCGCAAGGTTTTTTGAACTTTGACTTATCTCTTGTTCTGACCTATTGGACTTCATGAACTTCAATACTTAGTGGTCAAATGCTATGTAAAATACTTTTAACGCGCCCAGTGATTTTAGCGCTGTGAAATAAAATAATTGTTTGTATTAGCATTTTAATTTATAGGATTTAACAATATTTAGTATGAAGATAAACATACATACAAGTTTTATTGACTGGACATTTTAACATTTTATACAATGAGCACTCATTCTTTAATATTATTTTAACAATGTGAAAACCGCTATTCAGGACCAGTACCAATCAATTTTAAAATTAAAGTGTATAATAGTTTTGAGAACTGAACATGTAGGTGGGATTGTCGCCCAATAAGAGCAAAATTAAGCAAATCTTGATTTATAATTGAAAAAACAGTTGTATAAGTTTGAAAAAATTTTAATTTTAGAATTATTACTGGCCCTGATGACTTTTCCAAACCAGAAGGTCGTTTTAAAAACTTTCTCGATTTCGAAAAATAATTAATAAATTTATAATAGACACAGATTATGTTAGATTTTTGTTAATATTTACAATTGCGATAAATGTTTAAAAATTCAAAATTAATTACAAATTCCTAGCATTATATTCATTTTAGATTTTTCGTTTTGATACTTGGATCGACGCTGTATCTGTGGTTAACTTACAAGTTGATAAGCAACTTTTACTTGTTACTCACTGCGATTTTGATGAGATAAAAACGATGATCCAAATGTTTCAGTCTCGATTGGGACATATGTGGAAAACTACGGTAAAATGACAAGTGAAAGAGAAAAACAAAATGCCTTTCATTATTGCATTTTTATACACCTTTGTAATAATTATAATTTAGTTTAACACATCTTTCAAATATCTAAAACAAGTTTAATTTCAGGGCGACATATGAAAATACAATAGTTCTGTATCATAGTCTTTTTAAGTACATTTATATATGTACTTCTAAACTTAACTTTATCTACATTTTGTTCAAAATATTTTGTTTTTCTCAGTCATATGTATAAAAGCACTCTATGCCAGCGTACTGAATAAAACTGTCTATTTACAACATATTGGCAGATTTTTTTATAAAAATCTTAAAGGCACTTTTTACATTTTGTTAATAACAAAGAGTTTGGCAGAACTGGAAGGTTTATGTTTCATTTTTTTTACTTACAGGGTGTTTCGTTCCGATATTTGTACAATATACATTTGTCAAAATACTAATACCTAATAAAATTATTATTAAACAATTTGATTTAAAAATTAATGGTTGCTTATTCGTTTATTTTTTAAACTTAAACACAAGTTATATACAGGCGATCAAATTTAATTTTTGCAAAATGCAGAAACCGAAAAAGAAGCGTGTCGGAGTTGTTAGATGCGAGGGTCTAATCAACATTCTATTAATAAATCACACAATATTGGAGTTTAATTTATTATGTTATGATAATCAGAATGGTTTCCATTAAATGATTTGGAAATTTTTATTTCAAAATCGTATTCGATTTACGCGCAAATTTTATTATTACAGTTAGAATAACATTGTTCTGAACACACCCGTATTTCCACTAAGCTTTCGACCTTGCCTCTTATTGTGGATTTACTTAATTCGACCCGTATTTCCGTATAATTAGTCGATCTCTTATATATTGTGCGATCTCAAAAATAGTATTGATTTTTCTAATGGCTTTGCTGCTTTTTAATTATTTCCTTTCAGCTCAGTTTGCAAATACATGTTTTTTCGGAAAACGGAATACCAACTTGGGAACGAAACGCGACTCATTAAAATTATTACTAAATACTAATGAAAATTAATGTAATAAATTAATATATAAACCTTCAATTACGTATTTTAATGTCGAAACAATCCCGTAACTGTTTTCCATTTGTCACATTTCCAATCAAGAATTGATTCAGAAAATCTTATTGAGTTCGAAAAAATGATTTAATGTTTTTGAGACCGATTTGGAAAGAGCAAAAATATATAACACCCTGCCCTTTATGTATCTTGCTCTACCATATTGGTGGGCGGTCTTAGTTTCCAGTGATTTAACAATGAAAATAAAATATAATTTGGTACATAACAAATGGCTATTGAATGTTATATTTTTGGAATATCATAGAATTTTAAACCCGATTTCCATTTTCTTAATACCAAAATAAAACAGCACTTCTCTGGTACCTACACTAGAATACAAATAAAAAAATTATTTATGCCCCAATACGTACACATTTTTAAAACGCTTAAATAAAATGTATGTAAAAATCTTATCGACTCTGAGTGATTGTAATTGCGATTATACAATTAGGAAGATTTTTGAGACTTCAATTAATGACACGATTCTATACTACTTTAGCCGATATATTTTACCCTATTTGTCCGATTAACAGAAAAAAACTAACTAAAAATAAAATAAAACAGAGTAAATAAACTATAACATTTATTTGTACGTAAGAAATAAACTACTACATTTAATGCGGTAATATACAAATAAAATTAACAAAAGTAAGTACAGAAATGGCTTAAAAACGAAAAAGACGAATTAAACTTAAATATGTACAGTGAGAAGTACTCAAACTTAATGTCAAATAATTCATAAAAATTAAACGGAAAAATCTTTTTACAAAAGAATTTGAAATACTTTGGCTGTTCCATTGGACTAGTAAAAAATAATGTATCTTTTTATAAAAAAATCGACTTTTGAAATTACTATGTACACAACAAACTAAAAATATACAATAAAACACAAAATTTAAACAATACGTTAATTCAGTAAACAAAGGACGACGTTTTAATTAAATTGTTAAAAGATGTTATATTAATGTTTGCAAAAATAACACGTATTTTATTAAATTTATTAACTATCTAAGGATCACATAGATATTCTTTTATATCTTAACAACTGATTATCAGTTAGCAAGTAGTCAATATAAAAAATTGACGATTATTATTCGTTCCATAAAATGCATATTGGATGAGCTGATTAATTTTCTTTTAAACAAACACGAACTTTTCAGCTACAGATATCTACATATATGCCTGATTTAAAAACTAGCCGATGGGGGAGCCATTTGATCTCACAACTGTTATAACTTATTAGAAGAAAATTATTGCATAAATACATTATTACAATTATTTTTCTGGAATAGATGGACCGGCAAAGTACACCACTAGCGGCTAGTTTATTTAGATCAGGCTTTAGGGTGTTAAGACTTAATCGGACAAGGTTTTTCTGAACAAGACTTTTTTTAGTATCAATGCGGCAATTATAACTGATTTGATAATTTTTTATAATCGTGGTGTTTTGCACTGAGCAAATTTAATTTGAATTAAGTATGTGTGTATTAAGGGTTATTGAAAGTAAATGTATTTTTCAATTAAAAATGATAAGCAGTTGGGTAAATAAAAACATTGTTGCCAGAATCGCGCTCTATGACTTTTGCCGGATTAACAGGGACAATAACAATGTAAATGATGCAGATTTGAGTCGTTTGAGTATCCGATCGGTACTGTTACCTTATCGGTTTTACGTAAATATTCACGTTTGGCATTTGGTGCTCCAGTCTTCAGCTTCTTTATCGTAATCCCTTTTGATATACTGAATGCATTCCATCGCGGATGTAACATTCGTTTTGATTAAACGGTCGGTTCAAAAGGGACAAGTTGTGGAGGCGCGAAACTAATAACTAAGTATATAAATTAAGTCAGTACCAAATTGCTGAGTCAACCACACGTGGGCTTTTAATAATTGAGCTTAAAATAAATATCAAAGTCTATCAAGATTAACTCGCACTCTATAATCATCACATTAAAGTTATTATAGACACCCTTTCGAAGTTTCGTCATCTATCACACCACTGAATAATTTACAAAACGTACAAAATGTCGATACCCCCCTGGTCTCAGACAAGATGACCTTCCTGTTCGTTCACCCCACCGTAACCGTTACCGAAACTAGACAGCTCTCGTTTCTGAGCCAGCGATTGAGCTTGCAGAATCTGAGCGGTCTGGCTTGTGTTGTGTAGAACGTCCGGCGGTGGGACGTGGCGCTGATGACGCAGTAGCGACCCATTGGACGGCAAAGGGGGTGTGACTGGTGTCATGTGTTGTAGGTGGGGGTGTGCTGGAATTGGTGGGGGGTTCTGAAAGTCTAAAGGTGGTGGGTAGGACAGGTACCGATCAGCGACGTTATAGTAGCTGCCGTCAGCTGGTGGAGTGGGAGTTGGGGCGCTAACATACGATGACTTAGCTGAAAACGAAAATTTATAAATGAAATTCAAATGTGTTTGATTTAGTTACACTTTGTCTTTGGAAACAGTGATAACACTCCTTATAATCAATTTTAGTTGTACTCATTCAATAAATATCGCTTGCACTCACGTGTTAATTAATGCAGGTGGCAAATTTTAATAACCAGTTAATTATAATGAATACACTTTTCTTATTCCTTTTAGGTTCAATAGACAATTTCTATACAGGACAATTTTATGCCGTCTTTGCCTAGTATTTTTAAATCGGAATATTTTCTCACTTTCTCATGCGGAAGTAAAATATTGAATTACAGAATAATAGGTCTATCTGTTAGTTCATTATTGCCACTCTTGAACTAAGCATTATGCTAAGACGTATATTTCGCACTGGTTTCATACAGGGTGTCCCATAGGTAATAATGTCATAAATCCTGTAGGATTCCTGTAGTAAAAATAATACGATTTTGCACAATTTACGTTAGAAGAAAAGTGAACCGAAACAGAAATACAGAGAGCCAAAGTTATTTTCTTAACGGTCTTTTTCAAAACACTTCCAAACAACCAGGAGTTTTTTGCTGCAATTAGGCCTCGAGATGGTTTTCGAGATAGTTGCAATTAAAGCCGGTGCGAAATTTGTATTTAGCTTTTAAACAAAATTATTTACTTGATTATTTGAAAGACATGTAGGATGGAGCCCGATTAATTTCTTACTGCAAGTGAGGAATTACTTAAATGCAAATTTTCTGAATCATCAAACACCATCGCCTGCACGAAGTCCGGACTTTAATCCTCTAGATTTTTGCCTATGCAGATACCTGAAGGCTTTAGTCTATGAAGAAACGATATATAACATTTAAAATTGCAAGATTGTTTAATAAACATGTGATTAAATGTATCTCCAAAAACTCGTTAAAAAAGTTATTTGCAACTCATTTGAAAAAAAACATAACGTTGATGCCTTGTCCCTTTTTCTGTTCACTTTTCTTCGAAAATAAGTTTTGCCAAATCGTTTCATAACTGTTTCCTATAAAGATTGTCTACTCACAATCTCTTACAACAATTTTGTCATAAAAACGTTCTTAATAAAATACCTAACTTTTTAGCAAAAACATATTTTTCACCAGATATGTTTCTTTTATTGGTAATATTAAGTAGCACTGTAAAAAAAAGGAATTCACTGGAAACGAGAAGAAGAAGTTTTCGAAAATTGTTTTTATGAAAAAATTATGTATATTATGAAAAAATTGTCAGCTCAGCAACGTAACTCAAGAAGACTTCAAATCTTCCCTAACACACTACAGATCGAAAAATTATATTAAATCTTCTTAAATTTAATTTTAAAGTAAACATTTTACTCTAAAACGATATATTCTGTCGTATTCTAATTTCTTCTTTTGTAAGCAATATTCTTCAAAAATTGTCAATTTTGATTTCATTTCAGTGGATTCTCGAGGTAATTCTAGTCTTAAATGTTTTCTGCTACCCATAACAGTCGCTGTAGCATGTCGCAAAACAACTAATCGCTTTAAACTTGTTTCATAAAACGCATTTTCGGGGTCTTTTTTAAAGGGCGCGTAAAGGAACTCTGAATGTATGCATACCTCAATCTTGTAGATATTAAAACAATGAAAATATCATATGTTTAGTATCGACTTCTGATTGCCCAGAACTTTACTAAACTTAGCTTAGTCTCGATAAAAAGGGGTAATTGAAAATGCACTCCAAAAATACCTAGATAAGGGAACAAATATATTTATCAGTTATTTATTTAGTTTGAATACCTTGTAAGTGAAAAATCCATATTTCGGTTTAACTTCCTTGAGACATTGTGTTCAATGCGATATTAGTTTGTGCCACCGTTACTAAAACCTGCCCCGTTCTTAATAGCGCTTCCAATGTTATTTTCCAGCACTAATATGTGTTTTTTATACATACATATGTTTTTAATTTTATGGTAACAATGTGTTCCATTCATGCATTCATGCCATTCCAGTCAATCGTAGTTTTCTCGTCAGAATTCTATTTTTTTTACCTTTTAATACCTTTTTAAGTGTGAATATTATTCAAATCGGTGCTTTATTAAATTTGATTTTTAGATGCGAGGAACATTGCTTAAAATTGGTATCTCTGAAGGCAATGAACAAATGTACTTAATTTGTAAAACTACTGGCTGCTTTAACTAATTATTTCGAATAAACCATCTACTTTTCAACAACAACGCGCCTCCTTTAGTAGGTACTTTCAGTCTGTTGGAAATTTATGTATATTACAATCACTCCTAGTCAAAAATTAGTATTTTCAATCAATCACACTTGGTATTTTTTTGGTATCGCCTTCGGTAGTTTCTTTCGAAATCTATCACCCAGACACAAATGAAAAATATTGGTTAAATTTTTAAATCACATGCATGGATATCCGTTTATTAATATTATTAAGATCACACATTTTAAATATAATTTAACACTTTTTAAAAATTACCAAATTTTGATGATATTCAAGCATTTAATTAATGTTTTTTTAGCTAATTCCGGTAGAAGTTTTAAGGATCGTAAATTGTAAAATTGACAAAAAAATACTCGTAATGTTGATTTATTTAAATTTGACCAGACATCAGCTTGAAAATTTCTATTAAGTTTCCTTGGTGACTGAAATGTTAAAACAGTTTTTATAAACGTTGGGTCAACTTTGCAATTAATCTTGAGTTTTTGCCGCCTACCTGTCAAGCTATGCGTTTTTCTCAATTAGCAGAGCTCGACTGTCATTTGTATTAATTTAACTTTCGCGATTTATATGCAAATGGAGTTAAAAATGAAATGAAATTTAAGTTAACCAATGTGTAAAAGTATTATTATATTAGTAAGTTAAGCAAAAAACACACACCTGACATGCCCATACCAGGCCCATAGTGCCCCAAACTTTGGTCATCACGCGACCTCGGTCGGGTGTCATGCATGTGATGATGATGGTGATGAGGATGTGGTAAAGTGTGGGTTTTATGGGCCATATTCATATTGCCCATCTGCATTTCGTACACTGTGTACGCACCTGGCGGATAATCAACCGGCGGCGGTTGTTCGATGATGTATGAATTTGGAGCCTGTTTACTCCTTCCGTCATCCTGCAAACAGTTTTTCTTTCATGAAACGAGCACAATAATTTAAAATAATTAGCTAACTGACCACGTATTCATTGTTGCTGCCCTCGTTAGAATATGTTTCGCTTTTCTCGCTTACTGAGGACAATGTTTCCCCCGTCATTGTATCGTTGTAACTGCTGGGAGCGTACATTTCTATTGTGGCCGACTTTCCCGACTGGTTGCTCTGCTCTAAATGGGTAAAAACCGAATTTCGGTTAGTTATTTTTGAAAACTTGAAACTGAAAGTTTTAATTAAATACAACCAACTAAAGGGATTCAATAGAACTGATTCACTGCCTTAATGCCAACACTTTAGTAAAATACCCATTTCAACAAGAAAGCATTTAAAAATAAACACAGTATTATTTAATTTCGTCATCAATGTCAAGATCATTACCTAGTCAATGAAGTTTCCTAATATTTTTCTTTTTATTATGTTAATTTGTGGACGTCTATAGTTTTCCAACTAAATTATGTTAAACATCTTGCCAGTTTGCATAAGTGCAAAACGTAGGAATTTTGTTGACTTGTAATTGTCCTCAACGATTGGTAAATAATATGCTGGTTGTTGGCGTAAATTAAAAGTAAACTTAGACAAACCTCTAACTCGTTTGGCTCTTCGTTTTAACATGCATCCTGCTACCAACCCGATATTTATAACTAGCAAAACAACGCCTATAACGGACACACTGATAATCATAATTCTTGGCAGGTCTTCTTTTTCGACCATATCTTGTGGCAATACTCTTTCCACTTGCTCTCCTTCATACGCTATAAGTTAAAAAAGAAACAAAATTAATTACCTGATGGCCGTTTTTTAGCACGTTTATGCAGGCAACAGCCTATTAATAACACGTTCATTAGGATTAGTAGCACTCCTACGATCGCGCCTATGATGATCAGGAAACCTGGAAAGCTTTTCAGGTTCCTCTCATCTAAGCTTGGACTGGAATAGGAAGGAGGTATCTTGTCTGTTAGTAGCGGGGCAGCGTGAAATTAGATTCCAGATAGTTAGTGCTGAGTGAAATTAGGGCTAGTTAAGTTTGCTTACTTGAAGTTTTAGCGGATACTAAGTCGGGCAAGTACTTGCTGCTGCCCAGCTTATTGAAAGCCATCATAGAAAACACATATTCAGTGTCAATTTGAAGACTTCCAATTGTGAAGCTGGTTGCATTTGGCGGACTAACATCTTCATATTTGTAAACTTCGTCATTTATCTATGGGAAAATATAGGTTTTCATTCTCGTACATTCTCAATCACAAAAATTTACTTACTTTTCTAAATCTTATCCTATATGCGGGTTTATGTCCGCCATCGAATCCTGGAGTCCAAGCGAGGACTGCAGAGTCGTGAGTTACATTCACTACTATCAGCATGGTGGGAGGATCTGGAATGGAAGTCACTTCCAATCTGGGCGTGATCGTTGCGAAACCAAGTTCATTTTTTGCTATACATTCATAAGTCCCGTAATCGGCTGAAGTCACATGGGTGATTGAAAGAATGGATTCTGAGGTCAGTTGATCAATCTGCAGCAAATAATCGGTATTAAAATGAGTTTTCATGGACTTGGTGTTTTCTTAAAGAAAGCTACAGTTGGAATTTATATAGATGAAACATTACACTATTCGGAAAACGAGGAATAAATTAGATAAAAAATTCCTTGCGAATGCAATAAATTTTATATAGGAGAAACCTCAAGACCATTACACAAAATACTCAAAGAACACCAATC